AGATCCATAATCTTCATACGAAAGCACTATCCATTTCCTGATTACTGTCTGCAAAGTCACGAAAAATTCTGAAAAAGATTGAAGAACAACTATTTGCTGCAAAACGAAATCGAAAAAATGTGGATTGTTTTCAGATTGAAGACTAAAGAAAGCATGGGCTGTTGATAGTGTGCTGCACTAACCAACTGACACCAAAACTGTGGTGAATATTTTCGATAGCTTGGAATAAAACTATTTTCCTCTCAAAAAGGTCAGAACTTGAGATGGTTTAGGCTTGTTACCGTCAAAGGCAAAGGAGATGTGAATTTGTACAAAATACTTCCTGTCAGGTACAAAAGCTTGATTTCCGATGTTCTTTACAAGTACCGTAGAAAACTTAAAATCAAAGCTTGTGTTTCGGTGGGGGTCCCCATTTGCTGGATAAGAATTGATGTTTTTTGCTGGATTTAAAAGATAAAAACTGTGAAATAAGGTTGATCGAATGTCTTGGCTTCAAGTTATTTGGCTGTCAAAATATGAAAGACGAAGAAGCGATTTCCGCTTCTAAATCTTAAGGAAGATTCGAATAAGAATCTTGCTTGAGTCATAAGAAGAAGTCTGATTTTGATGGGCATTAAGAGACTTGGTCCAACACCAAATTCTCCAATATCAATTAACATAAAATTTGCTACACAGAATACAAAGGGAGTTAGATTCGCTGGAGTGTTAGGCACATAGGACTGTATGAGAGATGGAAGCAAAAGAGATAGAAATGTGAAGAGATGAGAACAACAGTAAAGAGAGTCGCAAAAGCCATACGAATTTTGAATCCTGTATACTGAAATGCAGGTTGTAGTTGCAAGCAGGGAGTGTCAACGATTACGAGTGAGAAAGGGTGAATGGGATTGGAGTACCAGAATGGAACCGAACAGAAAACTTCTAAATCAATTCTTGATTTTCAGGCAAGAGCAAAGAACTTCCAGTTGATAATGAAGAATGATTATGCAATTAGAGGGACTTAGGATCCTAAGAAATGAAATTTACAGCAGATGTAATATTTCTCACTTGAACCAACTCAGGTGGATGAAGCCTTTAAAATTGGCCTGAGGTGACAGAGCTGCCATGGATTGGATGGAGTTGAAGAATGATTATGAATTTTTCCAGGGCAAGAAAATCCAACTAAAATACTTTGTGACAACAAATCAGCTGCTGACTATAGGTTTAAGAATCCAATCTTCCATAGAAAAACCAAGCATACAAAATCAAGTACAAACCATGCAAATTCTGAAAGCTGAAAAGGAAAATAAAATTCTAGATTTGGTTCATTGCAGTTCGGAAGACCAAAGCAGCAGATATTTTCACCAAGGCATTGCGAAGAAAATCAAGAAATTTTGAATTTTCTTAGGAATCAGACTTGATGTTTTGTCTCAACTCTTGCATCAAGGAAAGAGTGTTAAGTTACAGTTACAGCTCCAATTGAAGTAAAATTTGATGCAAGTGTGTTTGACCTTTTTGGAGAAATCTTGTTAGAAAGTTCATTTGAGATTTTGTTGTATTTTGTTGAAGTCAAGAGGTAGGTGAAACTACTTGCTTTTTAGGTAGGTTTGGTGAACAATTCCTGCCTTGACTTATGGAAGGTTGGTGCACAAAGCTTTTGACTAGGGCTCTACTATAAATGTTACATTTATGCCTGTTATGGTAAAATAAGAAGTGAAATTATTTGTTTTCCTTTCACACTTAAAAAAATGTTTCTTCACACTTAAAAAAATCTGCAGCTTTTTTTTTTTCATTTTCTGCAGAATTTCCTTCTCTTCCTTAATTTTCTGCTCTTCTAAACCAACATGATGAATGTCCGCGAAAATATTGTGCTGAGTTGTATAATATTAGTGGGTGTCTTGCATTGCTGGTTTTCGAACAAGAAAGTGGAACTTGCTTGGCTGTTGTTGAGATTGTAACGACAACTCAGAAGATCAATTATCATTTAGAACTAGCAATTGTGGGTAAAGCTCTTGAAGTCTGTTTTCTTTTTTCTTTTCCCTTTCCTTTTCTTTTCTTTTATGTATATATAAATATATATGGGCTGACAAAATGATACTTGTTATTTTGCAGGCTATCGATCTAAAGAGTTCGCAAGATTTCTTTCCTTTTTGTATAAAGGTAATTTGGACATTATGAAATTAATTGAAATTTATGGTTTTGCTAATGATATAACAATATTAATAAATATGCTTTATTTTCAACAGACTTGCAATGAATTCTACCAAATTGCAATTCCAGAAATATCAAAGATTTTAAAATCTGTCTATGAGACTAATAATTTGCCTTTAGCTTTGACATGGACATTATGTAATCGCCAAGGCGAAAATGAATACGAGCAGGTTTCAGGGAAGTATGATTATTATATATCAACTGTCGATTCTGCTTGCTACATGGCTGATAGTGATCTTTTCGGATTCTTTAAAGCATGCTCCACGCAATACTTATTCCTTGATCAAGGGATAGTAGGGAAAGCATTCACAAGAAACAAGCAATTGTTTGCTACTGATGTAACCTCCTTTAGCAAAACAAGTTACCCTCTCTCTCACCATGCCAGGATGTTTAATTTGCGTGCAGCTTTGGCAATTCCGCTTGATAGGTGATATTTTTATAGTATTTTTAATGTAATTTTTATTAAGATTTTTAGTATTTTTAATTTATTTAAATTAGTTTTTATTTAATTTTATTATTAAAATTAGTTTTTATTTAATTTTTATTATGTTTTTTTTAAAAGCTTCTTGAAACACAGACTCACTTGATCTTGAAGAAAAAATTTGTAGGGCTTGCAAGAAATGTACAAAAATAAGGCAAAAACTAAATTTAGCACGGCCTGGGGCGTGCAATCACACGCCTGTGCAAGGAAACAAGGCAAAAAAGCACAATAGTCAGAGGGCGCGCACGCCGCAACCCATGCTGGAGCCGCACGCCCGTGGCTACAATTGCGCCTAAGACTTCAGAGCCCGGCGGCACGCCCCAAACCTTGCCAATCAGGCACGGCCCCGTCCAAATATAAAGAGCTTTAAATTTAGTCAACATTTGCCAACAAATTTCCCTACCAATTTTCAAGAGCTAATCTTGGACAACTTTCTTCAGCATACAAATCAAGCCTTAATGTTAATGCACATTGAAGACAATGATTGAGAGAAATTTCAAGGGGCTGATTGAGAACTTTATTCCATATAAATAAGGGGAATTTATTTCCCAACAATGTAGAAGTTCTCTCCAAGAAGTCTATATAAAAGAGCAAGGAAGGATGCATTGTAAAATCATCCCAACATTACACTACACCCATACTCTTTCTCTCATTTTATAGCTTTGTAATATAGTTTGTTTTTCTTTTAGAACGTTAAGTATTCAAGAGTTGTGCAAAGGTTCAAGGAAGCATCCAAGCAATATCACTAGTTCTTTATTTTAACAACTCTTAAATTCTAGTTTATTTCTTTCATTATTCTTAATTATCATGAATACTTATCAAAATTATTGAAGTTTTTATTTAAAGTGCTAATGTTATACTAAAATTCTTTTATACTAGGGGTTCTGATGTAAGTTAATCTCTTTTTCCAATTTATGCAATTAGATTATTTTTTTCCTTATTCAAAGCTTTATGATTTATTGATGAACTTAATGCTTCTAGCAATTTTCCCTTGGATTGATTCATTTCAATGATACTATCGAAGAAGGACTCTTTGATTATGAAAAAGTTTAATGAATCACATGAGAATAATAACTTGATGTGGAAGCTATATGGTTGACTCGGAAGAGTTTTTTCATTAAATTTAACAACTTTAATTTATGAATTTCATAAACAACAAACAAATTTAATGATTTAATTCATGTTTTGATTATACTATTGGAAGATAGGTAGTTAAACAGAATTAAAAATCAGCTAACAATACATCGGGGAAGCTTGTTTAGTGGGAATAGAGGTTGTTCCCCTACTTGGAACCAATTAAAATTGATTAATGGAACTAATAAAATAACATTGGATAGAAATTAAGTGAAATCAAAACCCGCCTAGTAGTTTCAATTCCTTGATTTCTTTAATTCAATAATTGGCTTGCAATTAACTTCTTTATTTTTTACTTTGTTGAATTAATTTAATTTCTATAAACAATTTCCTCATGTATTGTTTAAATAATAATGTGTTAACATAATTTTGGTACTTAGTATACAATCCCTGTGGATATGATACTCTACTCATTCTATATTACTTGTAGCGATTTCGTACACTTGCGAAAATCACTATCACCTCTTGCAAACATGTGCATCGGTTCAATTGAATTTGTCTTAGAGCTATTCTTGCCAAGATATTGAAGAGCGTTGTTAGGACTAATTCAAAATAATATTATTAAAAATATTTTGAGATTTCAATTTTAGTTAGTGCAGATTTTCTGCATAGAATTTAATGTTTTTGTTATTATGATTAATGATTTTTAGGAGTATTTTTAGGTTTTATTTGATTCACTTGTAAGCCTATAAATAGGTATATCATTTTGTTAATTCAATGGAGTGCAAAATATTGTTAATCATCTTGTGCATTTCCATTCTTTTTCCCTAAAATTTCAAATGGTATCAGAGCCTTAGATCCGAACCTGAATGAGGGAAGTTTCCGTGCTGGGTCGTACCCTGGTATCAGAGGAAGAAACTCTTTTTTGAGTGTTGGAGAGATGTGCTCCAAGAGAACATTGGAGATATGTGCTCCAAAATAAAGAAAGTGATGAGAAGTGCATCAATATTTGGTGAGAAGTGCATCAAAATGATGAGTTGGAGAGTGGTGCTTCAACAAAGTTAATTGAAGAGAATTGCTTCAACAAAGTTAATTGAAGAGACATGCTTCAACAAAGTTAATTGAAGAGAGGTGCTTCAAATGCTAAATTAAAAAATTTTTTTAAAAAAATAATTATTGTAATAAAAAAAAAATATTATGTTTGAATTAAGAGGGAATGTTAGGACTAATTCAAAATAATATTATTAAAAATATTTTGAGATTTCAATTCTAGTTAGTGCAGATTTTCTGCATAGAATTTGATGTTTTTGTTATTAGGATTAATGGTTATTAGGATTAAGGATTAATGATTTTTAGGAGTATTTTTAGGTCTTATTTGATTCACTTGTAAGCCTATAAATAGGCATATCCTTTTGTTAATTCAATGAGTGCAAACATTGTTAATCATCTTGTGCATTTCCATTTGTCCTTCTCTAAAAATTTCAACAAGGACTAATTCAAAATAATATTATTAAAAATATTTTGAGATTTCAATTTTAGTTAGTGCAGATTTTCTGCATAGAATTTGATTTTTTTTATTATTAGGATTAATGATTTTTAGGAGTATTTTTAGGTCTTATTTGATTCACTTATAAGCCTATAAATAGGCATATCCTTGTGTTAATTCAATGGAGTGCAAAACATTGTTAATCATCTTGTGCATTTCAATTCTTCCTTCCCTAAAAATCCAACATGGTATCAGAGCCTTGGATTCGAACCTGCATGAGGGAAGTTTCCGTATTGGGTCATACCCTGGTATCAGAGGAAGAAACTCTTTTTTGAGAATTGCTCCAAGAGAACATTGGAGAGATGTGTTCCAAAATAAAGAAAGTGATGAGAAGTGCATCAATATTTGGTGAGGAAGTGCATCAATATTTGGTGAGAAGTGCATCAAAATGATGAGTTGGAGGCATCAAAAGATATGAGTTGGAGAGAGGTGCTTCAACAAAGTTAATTGGAGAGAGGTGCTTCAACAAAGTTAATTGGAGAGAGGTGCTTCAACAAAGTTAATTGAAGAGACGTGCTTCAAATGCTAGATTAAAAAATTTTTAAAAAAATTAATTATTGTAATAAAAAGAATATTATGTTTGAATTAAGAGGGAATGTTAGGACTAATTCAAAATAATATTATTAAAAATATTTTGAGATTTCAATTTTATTTCGTGCAGATTTTCTGCATAGAATTTTATTTTATTTTATTAGGATTAATAATTTTTAGTAGTATTTTTAGGTCTTATTTGATTCACTTGTAAGTCTATAAATAGGCATATCCTTTTGTTAATTCAATGGAGTGCAAAACATTATTAATCATCTTGTGCATTTCTATTCTTCTTCCCTAGAATTTCCACATTATTGGATTTCTTGCCTATTGTGATACAACAGTCTTGTAGGAATTTCCATGTTATTATGGACAAAGCAAAGGAAAATTTTACTTTTGTTTCAAGGGAATGTCTGAAAGAAGAGCATGAAGAAGAGTTCAAGGTTATAAGTCATTGGGATAATAATGAATAAGAGTTTTCGGAGTTTGAACAACTTTAAGAAAGTTCTGCACTTAAATTTGGTGTTGTTGATGAGAGTAAAGAAAATTCTTCTGTTGGCATAGATTTCTCATTGAGCAAAAACTTAAGAGCAGGTGAGAAGAGACAGACCAAGGCAGAAAAGACAATCAGTTTGCAAATTGTTTGCAAATTCTTCGACAATATTTTGCTGGGAGCCTTAAAGATGCTGCTAAAAGCATTGGAGGTGAGAAAATGCAAAAACTACTTTGAGCCTCATTGAATAATCAGCACTTAACTAATGTAACTTCTTTTTTTTTTTATCAATTGCAGTTTGCCCCACTACACTGAAAAGGATATGCAGGCAACATGGAATCAATCGTTGGCCTTCTCGAAAAATCAAGAAAGTTAATCAGTTAATCACTCTTTGAAGAAACTTCAACTAGTAGTCAACTCTATCTGCGGCGCAAAGGGTCTAATACGGATTGGTTCCTTCTATAATACCTTTCCTGAATTGAACTCACAAGGAAATGATCATTTTCCATCACTCACAAACTGAAAGTGGCCTACTCAGCCTCAAAGTTGCTGATCCAAATTCTCAGTCCTCTTCAGGCAGTCAAAATTCTGGTTCAAGCATTTGCTATTTCACTAAAGCAAAGCAAGTTGCTGATAAGTGTTATTTTTATAGTATTTTTAATATTATAAGTATTTTAATAATGATTTCTATTTAGGATCGTTAGTAGTTTTTATTACTTTATTAGCTTTTTTATTCAGTTTATTTATATTTTTCATCAAAGCTTCCTTGAAACATAATTTGCTTAATCTTAAAAAAATATGTAGGATTTTGGCACAGAAAAGAGCAAAATAAAGCAGAACACTTAGGCTCTAGCACACCTAAGCCGTGCAATTTAGCATTCCCGTGCTGGAATCAAGGAAAATCAGTATGGAGACTCAGAGCATAGCATGCCCTAGCTGTGCTAGATGGCATGCTCGTGCCGCAAGAAGACATCAATCCAAAGGCATGCTTACCTGAGCACGGTCCGTGCTGCATTCCATCATGAAGAGTCGGAGCCTAGCACGCCCTAGCCGTGCTATGTGGCACGTGCTATGTGGCAACACCTGTGGCAAATAGATTCTTCTCTAGATGGTGCCCCTGAGCACCACGGCCCGTGCTGAACCATCCTTAGAATTCAGGCTCCGGCACGCCCTGACCGTGCCGCACAGCACGCCCGTGCTGCAAATCAAGTTTTATTTTGAGTTGCGAACGCCAGCTAATCCCTACTACCTACATGGGCCCACAGAAGATGATTTCCTGACATGCAGATCAACTTCTAATCCTATTTAGGCTTATGGGGGAGTCCTAATTGAGAAGAAATTCCAAATTCCTATTTCCAAAAGGTTTCTTACTTAATGAAGACTCTATTTCCTAAACGAAGTAGGATTTTCTCTCAGGAAGTCTATATAAAGAGAGAACCAATTCATTGTAAGAGGCATCTCTAGTTCTATAATCTTTTTTTCTATTATTTTTCTCTCTTTAAGACTTCAAGTGATCAAGCATTGTGTCAAGATTCAAGGAAGCCGTCCACGTTATTTGACTAGTTTTTATCTCTAAACTCTAACTCTTAATCTTGTTTTTAACTTTTCCGTTATTCCACCTTGATTATGGAAAATTATATATCAAAGTTTAATTGAGTTTCATTTAAATTAAACCATGTTCGAACTAAATCTCATACCTAAGATTTGATATAGTTATTTTTCTTTTCCAATTTATAAATTAGATTTGTTTTTCTTTGTTCAAGTATAATTATTATTGAGCTAATGCTTCTAGGCAGAGTTTCTCGGCATGGATTGATTTATTTCATTAATCACTATCCGGGAGAAGAGTTTTGAATATGAAAAAAGTAATAAATTACATGAAGAAAATAACATGATGCTTGGAAGCTATATGTTTGACTCATGAGAGGTTTTTCATAAGTTTAACAACCTTTAAAGTTATGAATTCATAAACAACCAATAAACTTTAATGTTTATTCATGTTTGATTGCACTATTGTGAAAGATAGGTAATTGGACCGGGTTTAAAATAGCTAATAATACATCGGGAGAGCTTTTTAGTGATTTAAGTTGTTTCCCCTACTGAACAATTAAAATGATTAACGAACTAATAAAATACAATTTGAATAGAAATTAATGAGTAAAATTCGTAGTCTTTAATCCTTGATTTCTTTTAATCAAAATTGCTTGCTTGATTTCTTTTTATTATCTTTATTTGTTGAATTTAGTTTCTAAAAATAATTTCCCTAAATCGTCGTTTAAATAATAGTAGGTTCATATAATTATGGTACTTGGTAAACAATACTCGTGGAAACCATATTATACTCATTCTATATTACTTGTTGCAATTTGTACATTTGCAAAAATCACTCTCACTTGCTTCCACCACCAATTATGGCTTGAACACTGCATTTTCTTTACCAGTAGAAGTTCCTGTTGTAACGCTGAAAAGAAGTTGCAGCAAAGCAGAATTGCATTCACCAAGCATGACAGACGGAGTGATATTCGGAGTGAAAGCAACATTTGGTTTAGAAAAAATAAGATTCAGCTTTCAACCGAACTGTGCCTTCAAGGACTTGCAGCAGGAGATCGCTAAGCGTTTCAAAATATATGATTTCAGCAAAATTGACCTGAAGTATTTAGACATTGACAAAGAACCAGTTCTTTTGATCTGTGATATCAATAACATAAGGATAGTTATTTCCAAATATTGATAATAGTTTATATTATAAAATTAACCAATCAAATAAATTTTAATTCAAATTTGGAAGTTCCGAACACTCCTATATATAACTCCAAGTAACTTTCACGTTTAGAGAATGTATAGATAAGAAGAGATAGGACACACTATCTATCTATTTCGTATGTCCATTTTGCTTTGCTTTGATATTAATTTGATCAGAGCAGATATAATTTGGGACTAAAGTTTGCCCTTTTTATGTTCGTTCATTGTATTCTTTGTTTTGATTTTATCAAAACCTTCATGTGTTCCACTGGAAAAAAAATAACAAATTTGTATGAATTGAAATTATATTTTATCCCCAAATCCATTCCTAAAGCCTATGTATATGATTTGGAGTTGTATTTCATTTCTTCTATATGATTCGAAACCGAAAGAAGGCCTTTTCATTTCTTCTATATGATTCGAAACCGAAAGAAGGCCTTAAATATTTCATTCCTTCTCCTCATGAGAAACTCAAGCATCATATTAATTGCTTATCTATATATTTTACTCTTGTTTAATGAATATAATCTTTTTAACTGTAACGTTATTTCAGGAAATGGGGACATCTCCAGAAGCTTATGTATTAGTCCTCTTATGCCTTTTTCTATCTTCAGGGCATGGGATTCAAGCTTTATCCTATGACTATTATGCAACAACTGAGGCAAGAAAATATTTTCTTTCGTTTTTTTTTTTTTTGGTAATATCAGAAATATCTGTCTCACCAGACAGACAAAGATTTACCACTTTTGGCTTAATTTTAGGCCATTTATATAAGAATGAAAATATTTTTATTTGAGCAGTGGCCTGAAGAGAAAGAGCTCCAATATGGAGGAGGGATAATAGCAATCCAGAATTTTACGAATGGCATAGGGGATAGGAGTGTATTTGGTAAAGAGCAATTAAGGAGGAAAAGTTTCTTGGGATGGGAACAGTTATTATGCACTTCACTAGACAGTTTCTCACAGAAGGTTCAATTTGAGGAAGGAAAAATCTACAGTTTCTCTGGTAAGTTCCTATTCAGTATTAATTAAATCAAGACTTAACAATCATTTTCCTCTTCTGAAAAAAATATTGCCGGGTAATTTTTTCTGATTGAATAATAGTTTTATAAGGAAAGGTTTAAGTAAATCTTGATTGATGTGATACTCAGCTTGGGTTCAAGTCAAGAATGGAAGTGAGAATGTAGTTGTTGTTTTTAGAAGAGCTAGAGGGGATCTAATTCCTGGTGGTAGAGTTACAGCAATGGATGGATGCTGGTCTTTTCTTAAAGGTGGTATAGTTGCAAACTTTTCATCAGGTCCTGCTGATATTCTGTTTAAGGTAATTAACAAGGACCATAATATAATGGATAATATAATGGATAGATTACTAAACCTCCCTGAGTTGGCTTTATTTATTTTTATTTTGATCAAATGCTTTATTATTTTGATAAATTTGGTTTCCTTCTTATTTGAGAGCATAATAATACAGATTTGGAAATTGGCGTGGACAGCCCGCGTCTCAGTTACAAGCGCTTTTTACAATGGAGCAATGGGAGATCCCACAAGATCAAAGCATATGACAAGGTAATTGAAAACTGATATCACTTATCAATTACTAAAAAAGAAAAATAATTCATTCTCAAAAAAAAAAAAAAAAAAAGGAAAAATAATTTATTATTTTTATGTATTTTTTTATAAATTTTAATCATATTTTACAAATTAAAATTATCCTCTTTTAATTAATTTCAATATTGCAGCCAAATAACCGAAAATTATTATATTTGAAAAAAAAAAAATACACTCAATCACTCAAGCTCAAGTTAGTTTGTTCTGGAGATAAAATGTATTTTAAGAATTCTCTTAAAAGAAAATCAGCAATATCTAATTCTGAATTCAAATGTGCAGGAAAGAAAAAGAAAGTAAATTACCAATTATCACACCCCAACAACATGGAAGTGTGAACAATAGTGTCAATTTAAACAAACCAGGCCAAGCTTCCCTTTTGATGTGTCATGAACAATCTAATCATTAACAACAAAAATTATCAAAATTGGTTTGCTTCCAAGATTCCAGTATAAACCATTCGCCAACGAAATGAAAATTGGTACAGTACAGAAAAATGTACAGGTCAAAAAATTATGCAGATGCAGAGCAAGCTAAAATTTGCATTAAGCAAATGGTATTCTGTTTGCGTGGGCCATAACAATTTTTTGGGATGATCCCAATACCAAAATGGATTGGGTAAAAATCTTCTCCTGACCAATACGAAGTTAGCTGCAGAGAAAAGAATAAGATCGTAGGTTTCAAGATATAAAGGGGAAATATTAATTGCTTGGGATGTAATGAATTTGTGAGAACTTACACCCCTTCAGGCTTTTTTGAGATGAAGCTGGCAAAATGCTTCTGCTGCGTAACTTGCTTTAGCTCTCAGCTTGAGTCTGGAACAACGTTGGTTTATTGAATGAGTTCAACACTATTGAAGAAGTGGAGATGGGAACTTGCACAATCCTGCAAATTTATATTACGAAATTTAAGAAATCTGGTTCTATCAGAGGTAATGATGCGAGTTTCAGCGAGCAATTGGTCTGGAAGGGCATTTTTGGCCTAATCAAACCAAACTCTTGCTTACATGAGAGCTTCTTTGGTACTTAGCTTCCCACAGATGGCCTATTGGCTTTACAGAAGAGATGTCAAAGGAAGCCCAGATCAGGTATTCTACCAAGTTTTTCAAATTATTTTCAATTAATTATTAGAGATAGTCCAAATATATATATATATAAAACAAACGTTAGTTACCAGGATTGGAATGGGTGGTTATACACTCTCTCATTAATGAAGCGAATAGTTTAGTACTTTACCGGCATCACGCCATACGTGTTCGACAACATGTTTACCGACTGTGTTCGACCACATGTTTACGGGCTGTGTTCGACAATATGTTTTAAGTCCCTTTTAGGGAAGCGAATACTCACTGAAAGGTGCTTTACCGGCTTCAAACGGTATTCGACAGCATGTTTTTAAGTAGCTTTTAGGGGGTTAAGATAGGATTTTGTAAAAAGTTAACGATCCTAAATATTATTTTTCCTTTGGGTGCAGGCATCGCATTTGGAGCAAGTTCTAAGGGAAGGGCACTCTCATCCTGGTGTGAAAGGGATTATCATGTGGGCACTACCAGCAGCAGCAGGTTCTGCTGATACAACATTGGCAGACATAAATTTTGGCAGACATAAATTTCAAGAACACACCATCAGGAGATGTTGTGGATAAGTTGTTTAATGAGTGGAAATTTAAGACTACAGAAATCAAAGCAGATAGTGAAGGATCCTTTGAAGTTTCACTTTTTCATGGAGATTACGACATAACTATTAAAGACCCATTCACCAATTCCTCCACTTATTTTAATTATAAACTTACAGAACATGAGAGATACTCTTCAAGGTTCATGGTCAATGCTATTCTGACGCCATCTGTTGGAATACTCGTTAAAAAATAAACTTTGGCTTGTATAGTTGTTGGAAAGCAACCTTTGATATAAATCGAATAAAATTGATTTTCTTTTCTTCCGAAAACATTCACTTTCGTGTTCAATTCTGGTGTTTATTTTTTCTTCTTTTCATTGTATCAACGTTAAAAAAAAAAAGAAATGATGGATGTAGGGGGAAAGGCATGGCTAATGATGATCCAAACCAAAGGAATATGGCTAAGATGATCCAAACCAAAGGAATATAGTATTGGATTATTAATTATTTAGTCTCTGAAATTTCATTGAAATTACTACCACATCCCTATATTGGTTTCAAAAACCACTTATTCTTCCCTAAGGACAGTAAGGTCTTTAAAGTTTCTTTTTGCAATTAAGCGAGGGACTAAATAGTTAATTGTCATAATTATTTAGTATTTACGGATAAAATAAAAAGGGTTAAAATTGTTAAATTTAATAATACTCTAACTTTAATATTGAAAGAGTTTTTTTTTTTTTTTGAGTTATATGAAACACTATTTCATTTAATTGAAGAACAAAGGTTAATTTAAATATTAAAAGTAGATCTTCCTATGATTTTAACAGTTTTTGCTTTGCCACCCTTAGATTATATATTTTAATTTATATCACTCCAAATAAAATAACTTGTTGCTTTTAATTAATTAATCAATTATAAAATTATTAACATTCATCCTAACAATTATTTCAATTGTTAAAAGTCTTATTATTTAAGTAATTAATTTTCAAACTACAAAAATATTTAAAAAAAGTTATTATTATTTTCAGTTGTATTTAGAAACAATCGTTGATGGTCAGACTTTATAATTGCATAGTAATATTATTACTAGATTTTAAAAAAATAATATTATTAATAGGTTGGAATTTCCAAAAAAAAAGGAAAAAAAAAAGTAAAAAAATATAAACTTAGTTATTAACAGATTTTAAAAAAAAATTAGTAGAAATTTTCCAAAGAAAAAAGGAAAAAAAAAGTAAAAATATAAGTTAGTTATTACCAGACTTAGTAGGAATTTTTTTTAAAAAAAGGAAAAAAAAGTAAAAATATAAAGTTAGTTATTACGAGATTTTAAAAAGAAAAATAAGGTTCGTAGGAATTTTTCAAAAAAAAAAAAAAAAACAAAAAAAAAAAAAAAAAAACAAAGAGGGAAAAAGAGAGCAACAACAATTAAGTTTATAGTGGAGGGTAATTTTATCAATAAAAATTTTAATGGTTTAATTATGTGGAATTCATTTAGAAAATTTCATCAATTTTAATAGAATTTTAGTTAAACACATTCAATTCTATGGAATTCAATTCGTGGAGTTCAAATCGGTATTTTTTTTTTTTCATTCCCAACACAACTTTAATTTCATCATTTAAAATTAAAGTCTTATACAATTTTTTTTTTCTTTAAACCTAAGCTACATACCATTTATGTAATATGGTAGAGTGCAATTTTTTTTTTTTTAAATATAATTATATCAATGGGCCGAAATAACATTGTGGGCTACACAGCAGGGGGCAGCCCT